TAGCCCTTAGTTTTCATTTTGGTTTTTTGTGTAGGGTCCTATTCGGACATTGTAAACATTCTTGTATATATATAAAGATCTTTTCTTTTCCCGACTTCCCTCTGTTTTATTCTCTGCCTCGTGAAGATTTTGTTTCATTCATGCCTTATGAAGATTTTCATAAGGCTTTAGGCAATTTGATCGTATTTGGACCTTGTAGCCTTTATAACCGAGTCAGTGCTTGCTCGAACTCAAAATAAGGTAGCCCGTAGGCTTAGTAGTCGAGTGAGTGATTGCTCAAACTTGAAGTAATATAGCTCGTAGGCTTATTAGTCGAGTGAGTGATTCGAACTCGAAGTAATATAGCCCGTAGGCTTAGTCGAGTGAATGATCCGAACTCGAAGTAATGTAGCCCGTAGGCGTAATGGTCGAGTGAACGTTTGCTCGAACTCGAAATAAAAGTAGCCCGTAGGCTTAATCGAGTGAATGATTCGAACTCGAAGTAATGTAGCCCGTAGGCGTAATGGTCGAGTGAGCGTTTGTTCGAATTCGAAATAAAAGTAGCCTGTAGGCTTAGTCGAGTGAATGATTCGAACTCGATGTAATGTAGCTCGTAGGCTTATTAGTCGAGTGAGTGATTCGAACTCGAAGTAATATAGCCCGTAGGCTTAGTCGAGTGAATGATCCGAATTCGAAGTAATATAGCCCGTAGGCGTAATGATCGAGTTAGCATTTGCTCGAACTCCAAATAAAAGTAGCCCGTAGGCTTAGTTGAGTGAATGATTCGAACTCGAAGTAATGTAGCCCGTAGGCGTAAGGGTCGAGTGAGCGTTTGCTCGAACTCAAAATAAAAGTAGCTCGTAGGCTTAGTGGTCGAGTTTATCTTAATTCTGATTGCATAATAAATCTCAAAATAGAGGAATTTTCCTTGGATATAAGATGCCGATAAAGAAGAGAACTTTCGTCGCACGTTATTACACGCCCGGGCTCGGGCCAATCTATATGAGCATGGTTCGCTTCGACTATTTGGCTCTTACAATTTTTCCTATTAAAACCCTGTTGTTGTGAAATAACTTTCTTGCGAGGCCTCGGATATTATTGTAAATGATGCACGATCAATGGTTGCCTCATTAAAAACATTGCCGAAAAACCCATTTGGGATAAAACCGGTCTAAGGGAAAAAGAGTGCAACGCGTGCTTTCAAGCGAGAGATCCATCTTAGCCCTTGTTCGGACTTCTGCAGGGGTCAGTTTTGAGATATAAACGAATATGAAAAGGTTGTACCTTAGCAGTAGTACCGTTTTAGATGTGATACATTCCAGCTGCTTGATAGCTATTTGCCGTTTATAATGCCGAGCATGTACGATCCCTTTCCGATGTTCTCGAGCACCTGATATGGTCCTTCCCAATTCGGTCCTAGTTTCCCTTCGTTCGGAATTCGGGTATTGATGGTAATTTTTCTTAACACTAAGTCCCCAGGCTTGACATGGCGGAGCTTGGTTCTTCGATTATAATATCTTTCGATTCGCTGCTTTTGGGCGGCCAATTGGACGAGAGCAGCTTCTCGTCTTTCGTCCGATAGTTTGAGGCTGGTATTCATAGCCTCGTTATTTGATTCTTCCATCGCGAATCGAAATCTGGCACTGAGTTCACCAACTTCGACTGGTATCAATGCTTTGGACCCATATACTAAGGAGAGTGGGGTCGCCCCCGTACTGGATTTTGACGTTGTCCGATATGCCCAAAGGACTTCGGGCAGGATTTCTCTCCATTTCCCTTTAGCGTCATTCAACCTCTTCTTTAAGTTTTGAATGACAGTTTTGTTTGTTGATTCGTCCTGCCCATTCCCACTGGGTGGTATGGCGTCGATAGTATCCTCCTTATCTTGTGGTCTTCGAGGAATCTTGTTACTTTGCTGCCAACGAATTGTTTTCCATTGTCACATACTATTTCGGCGGGTATCCCGAATCGGCATATGATATGATCCCAAATAAAGTCTATAACTTCTTTCTCTTATTTTCTCGAACGCCTGCGCTTCAACCCATTTAGAAAAATAGTCTGTCATAAATAAAATAAATTTGGCTTTACCTGGGATCGATGGCAGAGGGCCGACGATATCCATTCCCCATTTCATGAATGGCCATGGGGATAGGACTGAGTGGAGTTGCTCTCCGGGTTGGTGGATCATCGATGCGAACCTTTGGCATTTGTCACATTTACGAACAAATTCCTTCGCATCTTTGCCCATATCGATCCAATAATACCCTGCTCTGATTATTTTTCGAACTAATGTATCGGCTCCAGAGTGATTCCCGCAAGTACCCTCGTGCACTTCCCGTAGGATGTAATTGGTATCTCCCGGACCCAAGCATACTGCCAACGGTCCATCGAACGTTCTTCGGTACAGCGTTCTGTCCGAAGCCAACGTGAATCGAGCAGCTTTAGTCCGTAGGGTTCTGAAATCTTTAGGGTCCGATGGGAGTTTTTCGCTCTTCAAGTATTCAATATACTTGTTTCTCCAATCCCAGGTTAAGCTTGTAGAATTTATTTCGGCGTGACCTTCTTCGATTACCGATCTCAAAAGTTGAACAACATTCCCCGAGCCCGAATCATCTACCTCGACCGACGACCCCAAGTTCGCAAGCGCATCGGCCTCATTATTCTGTTCTCGTGGTACATGCCGTAAAGTCCATTGTTTGAAATGGTGCAAAGTGACAAGCAGTTTATCTAAATACCTTTGCATTCTACCTTCTCGAACTTCGAAGTTTTTGTTTACTTGACTCACCAACAGCAAGGAGTCGCAATTAGCTTCAATGACTTCTGCTCCCAAGTTTCTAGCTAGCTCGAGACCTGCAATCATGGCTTCATACTCTGCCTCATTGTTAGTCAACCTGATAGTTTTAATAGATTGCCTAATAGTGCTACCCGTGGGTGGTTTCAAAACTATGCCCAGCCCGGACGCTTTTACGTTCGAAGCCCCGTCCGTAAAAAGGATCCATACCCCCGATGATGTACCTGATTTCAACGGTTCTTTTTCGACTTCGGGTACGAGGGTTGGCGTGAAATCGGCCACGAAGTCTGCTAAAATTTGAGACTTGATGGTCGTGCGGTGTTGATATTCGATATCGTACCCACTGAGTTCGACGGCCCATTTAGCCAGTCGGCCTGATAACTCGGGTTTGTGCAAAATATTACGAAGCGGGTAAGTGATTAACACACATATGGGATGACATTGAAAGTACGGCCTTAACTTTCTTGAGGCGCTTATCAGTGCAAGTGCCAATTTTTCTAAGAGCGGATATCTAGTTTCTGCTTCTCCTAAGGTCCGACTCGTATAATAAACGGGGAATTGCGTACCTTGCTCTTCTCGAACTAGGACACCGCTTACGGCGACTTCCGATACTGCCAAGTACAAACAAAGTTTTTCGTCTGTTTTTGGAGTGTGAAGTAGTGGTTGGCTTGATAGATATCGCTTTAGTTCCTCTAATGCTTGTTGGATTCATCTTGAAGCCAGCTTCGTAATCGATCGGTGAAGCCATTTGATTGGTGGTTATTCGTAGCTGATTCGAAATTCAAGATGTTTTCGGAAATAAGTGCAAAAGCATAATGGCGTGTTTTTTCAGATTTGTATCAAATAACCACTGTTATCCTTGGCCCCACGGTGGGCGCCAAACTGTTTACCCGAAAAATGGATAGAGTTAAATTTATACGCAGTTCCGAGGATATGCAGCGTAACTTAACACAAAATGTAAGGATAAATAGAAATGTAAATATAGATTGCAAAGAATGCAAAATAGATAAGGTTATCAGGAACAATGAATCTTAGGATTCAACAAATAGAATCAATCTGAGAAATCTGAAAGAACGATTCTTTACTGTAGAAGAATATAGCACTTTTATTACAATGTAAGCCTGAACTCGATCGGACGTGCTAAGGCCGAAACCTATTTCGACCGTATACAACATGAAAGTATGATACCTTCTCTCTCTGTAACACAAAATGATGGAGATACTTCCATTGTTATCTCTTATTTCGGCAATCATGGTTTATGTATTTCAGTAGCACTGGTTTATGTATTTCAGGACATACTATTTCTATGAGTTTGGTAGAGATGAACAACATGTTGCATTAGTGGTTGCTGTTAACAGTGGAAAGGTATCTTGTTCCATCTTGTTTTAGAAGGCTCTTGTATTTTTCTGTAGTTTCATCAAGATTTATAACATGTTTATAACATGTTTGGCCAAACTTTTTTTTGGGCCAAGAGCGCTTGTTTCTAAAATTAAGGTGTTTGGCCAAGCTTTTAGAAGGAAAAAAAATGTTTGAGTATAAGCAAAAATAATTTTTAAGAAACAAAAAAAAAACTTTTCCTAGAAGCAATTTTTCGAAAAGCACTTTTGAGAAAAATACACTTAAAACTTTTTAAAAGGTTGGTCAAATATTAGTTACTGCTCAAAAGTGCTTTAAAAATTAATTAGTCAAGCAGAAATTGCGTCTCACCAAAATTTTTTCTTTGAAAAGCACTTTTCAAAATAAGCTGATTTTAGAATCTTGGTCAAACAGGCTATTAATCTCCTTCTAAAGGTGTATTATTGTAGCCTATGTTCTGGATTCCTGACTAGGATTCACCAATCCAATCAATTTTGCAAAGACCTAAGTTGGTTACTACTTGGAATTGGAGCCTCCTCTTGGACCAAAAATTAAAATGGCATCTTTTCCTTATTATTTGTTTTAAGCGCATATTTATTTTTGCAGGCTTATATTGCTGGTGCCACTGCTCCCGAGAACAAGTGGAATGATGATGGTTTGAAGCTCCGATCTGCTGCGGTATCACTGATAGTCCTATAAGCAGAATACCATAATTTAGCAGGTTCTATTTCGTCAATGTTTTCCTATGTGGTGCCACACAAATACTATTGGTCAAAGTTTTCTTACCTAGTTCATTTGTTATCTCAGGCAAGAGTTGACAGTGTGTATCATCCATTCTTCTGGATTCAATATTCAAAAAGCAAAGCTCCTGCTATTTGCAAAGCGAAGACATTATAGCCTCAACTAAAGCAGATTGGAGATCAACACTCTGCACTGTGGTTAAGCCATAATGAAATTGCATGGATTCTACTAATATTTCATGACAGATGATCATAGATTGATGTGATTTTTACTTATAATCTTTTTTTTTTTGGGGGNGATTTCATCGGAGCCGAGATTAGTTAATAGGCTTCTAAGCTGGCCTGGCTGCTTGTTTTACTTACAATTTCTTTTTTTTTCCCCCTTCATTTGGCGTTCTTTGCATAACTGTGTAACCTTTTGTTTAGAAAGTGAAAAAAATGATAAATGACAATTGATAATATAAAAAGAGAGAAAATAAATAATTTGTTATGTGTTATAAAATAAAGACTATAAAGTAAATAAACTGAAGACTAGTATAGAGAGAGATTGATATATTATTCAACTTCAAACTGATGTATATAATGAACTGAAAACTCCTCTATTTATAGAAGAAATGAAGCAGTTGCGAGGTTTTTCTTGAGCTGCTTGCAACCTGCCTGTTTAATAAGAATCTGCTGCAAATTATTTCATTGAGTCGGCTTTTTAGGAAGCAGCTGCGAGGCTTTTCTTGAGCTGCTTGTAAGCTGTCTGCGTGAGCTGCTGGCAACCTGTCTGTTTAATAAGAAGCTGCTGCAAATCATTTCATTGAGTTGCTTGCAACCTGCCTGCATCAGCTGCTTGTAGATAAACTTCAATGGAGTACCAAACGGATAATCTTCTTCAGGAAGATTATCTATAGCGAAGTAATAAATGGACATCAATAATATAATTATTTTCATAACACTCCCCATTGGATGTTCATTAAAAGATATTGTGCCTCGTTAAAACCTTACGAGGAAAAACCCAGTGAAAAAAATTCTAGTGAAGGAAAAAGAATACACATATTTAGTAATACGCATTTCTAGCTGCCTCATTAAAAACCTTACAAGAAAAACCCCATGGGAAAAACCTTAGTAAGGGAAAAAGAGTACAACGCGTATTTCACTCCCCCTGATGAAAACCTTGTTTCAAATATTTGAGTCTTCGTATTCCAATCTTGTATACCATCTTCTCAAAAGTTGAAGTGGCAAAGATTTAGTGAACAAATCTGATGGATTGTCACTTGAAAGGATTTGTTGCACATCGATGTCACCATTTTTCTGAAGATCATGTGTATAGAATAATTTTGGTGAAATATGCTTCATTTTATCTCATTTTATAAATCCTCCCTTTAATTGGGCTATGCATGCAGCATTGTCTTCGTATAAAATTATGGATCTTTTATCACATTTCAAACCACATTTTTCTTGAATAAAATGAATCACTGATCTCAACCATACGCATTCCCTACTTGCTTTATGAATAGCTATTATCTCAGCATGATTTGAAGAAGTAGCAGCAATATATTACTTTGTGAAGCGCCATGATATGACAGTACCTCCACATGTAAGCACATACCCGATTTGAGATCGAGCTTTATGGTGATCGGATAAATAACCTGCATCTGCATAACCAATACGATTTGCACCACCTTTGTTAGCATTAGCAAGATATATAAGTGCACCAATTGCACTGAGATAGAGTATTTCAGGACCAAGGAGTTCCTCATCCTCTTCTGGAGGTCGGAACGGATCCTTATTCACTTCAAGTGATCGAACACCCATTGGTGTACTTAATGGGTGGGCTTTGTCCATGTGAAAGCGTTTAAAGACCCTTTCTAAATAGGCAGATTGATGGATAAATATCTCGTCTGCTAAATATTCAATTTGCAGACAATTTTATTTTTCCAAGATCTTTCATCTCAAATTCTTTCTTAAGATATTCAATTGCATTTTGGAGCTCTTCTGGAGTTCCAACAAGATTTATGTCATCAACATAGATAACAAGTATAACAAATTTTGATGCCATTTTCTTTAAAATATATATGGACAAATAACATCATTTATATAACCTTCTTTCAGCAAATATGCACTGAAGCGATTATATCACATTCGCCCAGATTGATGTAAACCATACAAAGATCTTTGTAATCTGATTGAGTACATTTCACAATACTTTGAACTATATGCTTCATGCATTTTAAATCCTTTAGGGATCTTCATATAGACTTAATCAAATGAGTCATATAGGTTATGACTTGCATTTAGATGGCATGACATCTTCAGGCGTCTGGACTACAGGTTCGATCCTCACAATCTTTTATAATATTGTGAACTATATTGTATCAAATATATCGTCGTTGATCATTTTGTATCGGTTCTTAAGTGACATAACTTGTTAAGATCTCATCACTTTCTTTATTTTCAGGTACCTGAACTTGTTCTGGAGTTTCATGAACTGTTATGTCATGGGCTCTTCTAGAGCTCATTTCCTCCTCATTATGATCATTTTGATCATATAATTTCAAGTATTATTACCTTTGAAACCGATCGGTTTACTACGCTTCATGCGTGCAGTAAACTTTATCCTCCAGGGACTTTAGTTTTAATAGGATCATTGGCAGCTGAAATATAATATTTAATTTTAGATCAGCAAATGCTTCTGGCATTTTGACTTGAATTATATTCTAAGTGAGGATCATATTAATGATAGTTCGATTCACATAGCATATTTTTCAATTGTTTATTCCATCCCCCAAATGTTAGAAAAACTAACATATATCTCCAATCTTCTTTGGGAAACCTATTTTTGTGCAATGTGGTAGAGAAATTAATCATATACCACATATCAAAAGTTATTAGATAGTAAAAATATTTGGTTTCTGATCCTAAACCAATTGTGAAGGGATGACTTATTATATATTATTGGTATGATGCATACAAGTGTTGTTGTATACAATGTAGAAAATCTTAGACCAATACGGGAAGCTTTGTTCTCATAAGAAATGATTTAGCCATTAACAGAAGACATTCAATGCTAAACCAGCTTGAATATACCGGCATTATCAAGATGAATTGTCTTGATTACATATTCTGGAAATTATGCTCTTAATTGAGAAAAGAAATTTCAAATGCTAAACTGCAGGTTGACGATAAACACACATATAACCATCTCATATATGCATCTATAAGTGGTTCACATGATAGGTGAATGGGCCCATACTCACCTTTTATATATTTCAGAATTCAGGAGCCATAGTCCCAACTTTAGCTGTTATAATCAATTTATTATGAGAACAAGCAACACAAGAGAATTTTTGAAGAATCTTCTAGTTCTTCAATTTATGTTTATCATAATTCTCAATTAGCTCATCATATTTAAACCAGATGGCAAATGTAAACTTCAAGTTTATCATAGCATATGCTATCTTTTAGTAAATTTTTGGTTCACTATGACATAAACTTTTGCATTAGTAAACTTCTGATGTACTGTAGCTACATTTGTATCAGCAAATTTCTGTTTTACTATAGCTATTTTTGCCGCAGTAAAACTTCAATTTTACTGTAACTGCTTTTGCATTAGTAAACTTCTGGTTTACTTTGATACATGATGTAGTACAAATTGAAGAATAAGGTGGGTAACTTCTCACATACATATCATTTTACCCCCTATGATTGTGGAAACATAAAAATTTTCAATCTTCTAGTCATTTGTAGTCTCAATATGATGGCCATTTGTATTAGTAAACTTCAGGTTTACTATAACATATGTTTTGATCATAATCATATAATATGAATGACATATTTGTATATAAACTCTTCGAGAGCCTTTATTTATTATCCACAATCTAATATTTATCGGACACTACTGGTGTCATGTGTCTTCTAGACAAACAGTTAACTCTCCAGGAGCTTTTGATAAATTTTGTACTACCAAATATTGCTCAGACACTTCTAGTGTCATGAGAGAAAATCGTAATCAAATAAACAATATAAAGACAATTCTAGATTTATATATGACGAAAATTAAGAATTTTAATATTTTTACCACTACATAATATTTTTCTGCTTCAGGAGAAAATTTTAATTATTTACTACTTCAGGAGAAATTTGAAATATGAAATATGGAGAATATATTCTCTCAATCGTATTACCTCTTCTGGAGGTGAATTGTAATATATTTACATCAACAACGCGTTCATATTTAATATTGTCACATTCACTTCAGGAAATTGATTAATGTTATCAAAAGTTCTCTTCCTTCAGGAGATAAAACATAATTATCTGAACGTGCATAATCACATCAAATTGTGATACTTCGAACCTCTTTTAAGATATTTGCTACTTCAGAAGCAAATCAAGGTATGCACATAATATAGAGAATTTTCTCTAACTTATCTTCATTATAACCATAGCAAGCCTAAATTATCACTTCTGGTGGTCATAGGCATATAACATTTCTGGTGGTTATCAAAATTTAGTTACAATGAGATATATGAAACATAGCCGCTTCTGGTGGCCGTACTCTGCTGGAGTTCAAGTGAACCATGAAGTTAAGTGATAACGAGGCTTAAGAAATATTATCACTGTTGGTAATTATATATCTCTCATAAACTCTGCTGGAGTTTAGATGGATCTGACATTGTTATTCACCTTTTAATCCTTCATTAAACGATCAAGGAGGAAAATAAGTATAAAAATAGCATTGTATAAGTATACATAGTCCCCAACCGTTTGCCACATAAACTGCATATGTAGTCTCGCGACGATATAATAGCTTAAGTAAAATCAAATTTTCTTTCCAATTTTGCGAGACCGCATCCAAGTAAAATGACATTTGCATCATTAGTTGGCTAGAAAAACGTGATGAACATGCATGATAAACATATATTTAGAAAAAGAAACTTCGTACCTTAGAGTATTTGCTCGAGATGGCAGAGTCTCGTGCTGATAACGTATTATAAAATAAAGATTATAAAGAAAATAAACTGAAGACAAGTATAAACAGAGATTGATATATTATTCAATATCAAACTAATGTATATAATGAACTGAAAACTCCTCTATTTATAGAAGAAAGGAAGAAGTTGTGAGGCTTTTCAGGAAGCAACTGCGAGGCTTTTCTTGAGCTGCTTGTAAGCTGTCTGCATGAACTGCTTGCAACCTGCATGTTTAATAAGAAGTTGCTGCAAATTATTTCATTGAGTTGGCTTTTCAGGAAGCAACTGCGAGACTTTTCTTGAGTTGCTTGTAAGCTGTCTGCATGAGCTGCT